CCCCCCAGGGGGATGGCCACACCACAATCCCTTCTCCTCCATTCTCCTCTCGGGACCTTGGGCACACATGCACATCCACCCGGCATGAGTTTAAGCCACCGGGTCCAGGACTCGAACTGTGGACATGAGAGTCCAACAACACAGCCATTATGCTAACTGCTGGTCCCAATAAATAAGGTATTTTTAAAAGTAATTCAGAGTTAGCTCTGTAGCCCAGTGGTTAAAGCGACCAGATTCCACATGGCCAACTACATGGTTCAAATCTCGCTTTGAGGGACATATCAGGCACATGTGTGTGCTCAAAGCCTCAACAGAGTGGAGAAATGGAGGAGGAGGGATTGTGGTGAGACCATTCCCCACGGGGCTGCTTCAACCCCCCCACCCAGACCCACACCTCATCTCTCTCTATATATATCTCTCTCTCTCTCCCTCTCCCTCTCTCTCTCTCTCTCTCTTTCTCTCTCTCGTAAGTGCACACACCCTCTGGCAATTTTTTTTTTTAAGTAATTTACAATAAAAGATTTGGTTAAAATTCTGATGAGGATTCTGCAAAGAAGAAATGGAAACAATCAGACAAATGGCCTCTCGGTCTTATCTACTGGCTGCTATTTCAGGCTTTCTTCTCCTTCTGGACTCGGGCATCACAGTTTAGCATGAAGGCTGACTTTCAGGGTGGCTACCAGTTCATCCAAGCTCTACCTTGTGTTTGCTTCAGGCCACACTGAAAGGAACGGCTTCCATTGTCAAAGCTATTTAGTGCCAAGTCACTCCTAGGGTGTCAAATCCACCTCCACAGGTTCAAATCAACCCCACTTCCTCCTCCACAGGACACTGTTCTTGTTTTCTACCTGTCTAGGGCAAATGTGATTGCTCTCATAGAAGTCCAAAGAGAGATTTATTCTTTCGATTTTGTGGCTCCCTCTGTTGTAGAGTTTGTGATGAGTTTCCAGAAGCTAGGCCAGCCCCCTCATCAAAGGAGACACCAGCCATCAATTCAAAGCACTCCTCCTTAATCATCAGCCAGGGTATCTGAAAGTTTCTCTCCCCAACCCAAGACACAGTCCCCTGCCTAACGTGGCATCCCAGTTAGGCATGACGCTTGCCTTCATCTTCTTCTCCCCTTTGGAATTTAGCAGTCTTTACCCTCGCCACTTTCCAACCCCCTCTTTCTGCCAGTCCTCAGTCTGTTTGTGTAGGATCCACTCCCTTTAAGGCATCCCTGTGTGGTAGGAGAAAGACAGAGGCAGCCCCAAAGTTAGATGAGGGGCAGCTGGAGTAGATCACACCCGAAGATCCGCATGTTCTACCATCCCTGCATCTGCAATGAAGCCTCCTCCAAATGGCCCAGCCCGGCCTCAGGAGCACAGAAGTTTCTGTCCAGTCCTCTGGAGCAGAGCATTAAAGGCAGAGTGGTACAGCATGGCACCTCCCTCCCCAGTCCAAGACTAGAGCATGAAGGAGCAGTCCTAGCAACAGGTCCTCCACAAGAAGAGTTTTTCACAGAGGAGAAACGCTTTGCTGAGCCAGAAGGTGGTGAGGAGGTTAAGGACACAGTGGCTTGAAAAATACCCTTAGCATGTGTGCCGACGTGCCCAAAATCTCCAGAGGAGAACAGAGAAGGGACTGTGGCATGGCCAGCCTCTTGGAGGGTGATTTCTCTCTCCTCTCTCTCCCTCTCTCTATTGAGCACACACACCCTATAGCAAAAACTTAAAAATAAATAAAGAGAGAGAGAATCCCTCTTTATTGAAGTTCTATACCACCACCACCCTACCGACAACATAGGACCTGGTAGGTTCCCTTTTACTGAGGGGCGTCTCTCCTGCTAACAGGACTCTTGATGGCAGCCTCAGAATCTCAGGGGCATAGGATCTTCTTTAAATTGTTGCTTAGAAAGTCACTATCACACCCGGTTTCATGCTGCACAAGAAAAATAATCAAAGGCAAAACCCATAGTGCAGTGGTTAACTGCTGCCCATGGGGAGTCAGAGCCCACACAGCCAACCACATGGTTGGAATCCCAGCCCCAGGTGTTTGAAAAACATGCCAAGTACATGTGGTTGCATGCTCAAAATCCTTAAAGGAAAGAGAAATCAGGGAGAAAGGACTGCAGTGTAATTATGTCCTGTTGAGGGGCTCAAGGGAGAGTGCACATGCCCTCTGGCAACAAAATTTATATATTCGAAATAAATAAATATTGGGACCAGCAGGTGGCATGGTGGTTAAGGCCTAGACATTCCCACATGGCCGACTGGGGTTCAAGTCCTGCATCTGGTGGCTTGCTTTCTCACTTCCTCTATCTCTCACTTTCACCCTCTGTCTCTCTCTGGTCAAATTAAAAAATAAATGAATGAATAAAGAAAAAAGGCAAAACCCATAGTGCAGTGGTTAACTGCTGCCCATGGGGAGTCAGAGCCCACACAGCCAACCACATGGTTGGAATCCCAGCCCCAGGTGTTTGAAAAACATGCCAAGTACATGTGGTTGCATGCTCAAAATCCTTAAAGGAAAGAGAAATCAGGGAGAAAGGACTGCAGTGTAATTATGTCCTGTTGAGGGGCTCAAGGGAGAGTGCACATGCCCTCTGGCAACAAAATTTATATATTCGAAATAAATAAATATTGGGACCAGCAGGTGGCATGGTGGTTAAGGCCTAGACATTCCCACATGGCCGACTGGGGTTCAAGTCCTGCATCTGGTGGCTTGCTTTCTCACTTCCTCTATCTCTCACTTTCACCCTCTGTCTCTCTCTGGTCAAATTAAAAAATAAATGAATGAATAAAGAAAAAATAAAATAAATAATTATAAAAAAAAGAAAGCAGTCATATCAACTTCTTTACTTTCCATACTCAGCTCTGAAAGACTCCTAGACATTTCCAGACAACACACACATTCCTTAACAAAATATGCCACCAACAAAGATGTTCCACAGACTGAACGCCTGAAGGCAATTTTCAAAACATTTTGGCCAATGATGGAATAAGGATGTGATCATACAAGGGACCTCCTTCAAAGTAGCACTTACCAAGATGTACAAGTTCTGGTATGTTTGCTTAAAAGTGTTAATTTTACTAACTGTTGTTCCATCTCCCATAAAACAAGTACCATCTGACACATAGAACCTTTCATTGAATGAAGACTGAAATGCAGCCCTGGTAAATAAGCATTAGGGGGGTGTCTAATACTCGGGGTCTGTCTGGGTCCCCATCTATGTCCGTGGTTTTACAGAAGAAGCCATTTCCACGGATCCTACCAGGTCACTTGCTGCTTTCTTGCTGTTAGAGCTAATGAGTATTTCTTAGGCACTGGGCATGAATCAAGTGTCCTAAAATCTGGTGTGACACTATCCCTAGCCTGGTAGTTCACTTTCAAAGTTCTCGAAGCGCCTGCTATCGCTGAGGCAGTGTGCTAGTGGAGAAAAACACACAAACTTGGATTAAGATTCTATCTCCATCCCTTACTATAGCCTCAGAGAAGTTACCTCTCCCAACCTCAGTCACCTCAACTATAAAATTTAAGTATCCTTTGCAAGATGATTGTGAAAAGTATCAGACACCAAAGAATTAAGAAGGGAGGGGGCTGGTGGGTGGCACGGTGGTTAGGGAGCTGGACTCCCACATGACCGACCACGGTTCGAGTCCCAGACCTGGTAGCTTGTTTCTCACTTTTCCTTTCTCTCTCTCTCTCTCTCTGTCTCTCTCTGGTCAAGTTAAAAAACAATAATAATAATAACAAATAAAATCTTAAAAAAAAAAAAAAAAGAATTAAGAAGAGAGGCTATTTTGAGATCCAGCGACATGCTGGTCACTTGGTTAGGTGCTTTGCTGCAAAGTAGGCGTTTTATTTGAATCCCCTGGCCCAGTGTCAGGCATATACTATGTGGTCAAAATTATGAGATTTCCCTTCCCTGAAAAGCAGCCTGACTTGCAAGCCTGGGCCTTCTCCATGCAAGGGTGTGACCTACCCTTTCTGACCTTACTTTCTCCCAGCTTGTCATTCCCATGGAGCCATCCCACTCTCTAGGGCATTTCTCAAATGAAACATCCCATAAAAATTAACCATGTCCAGACCTGTGAATTACCCCCTCATAAACAAACCAGCACCAGACCTCCAGCAGCTTATCTGGCATACTTCTCATGGCCTCTCTGTCTCCACTATCCCACCTGCTGTCTAGGGGGTGCTCACTGCCTGTGTCTTTGTGTCTCCTAGAGCCCCTTCCATCCCAGAATCCACCTCCAGCTCCGGATGGACAACAGTGCCCACTGTATGCCAGTGGTAAGGACATAGGCAGGACCTGCTCTGTTCATGAAGGCAGAAAAGGGTCTCTAAGGGGAGTAGAAAAAAGGAAGCCCTCCTGGGCCTCCAGAAACAGAGTCACCTAGGGAAGGGGAATGACAGCTCCTGGAGGAGCGGGATGAGTGAGAGCGGTGGGGCTGGTGGTGGGAGGGGAAGGGAGGAGGAGACACGGGACTCCAGGAGGGAGGGCAGGAGGGTTTAGACCCAGGGTTGGCCAATCACAGCCCCCTCTCTCTGTCTCTCCCTGGTCAAGTTAAAAAACAATAATAAAAAAAACAAAAAAAAACTTAAAAAAAAAAAAAAGAATTAAGAAGAGAGGCTATTTTGAGATCCAGCGACATGCTGGTCACTTGGTTAGGTGCTTTGCTGCAAAGTAGGCGTTTTATTTGAATCCCCTGGCCCAGTGTCAGGCATATACTATGTGGTCAAAATTATGAGATTTCCCTTCCCTGAAAAGCAGCCTGACTTGCAAGCCTGGGCCTTCTCCATGCAAGGGTGTGACCTACCCTTTCTGACCTTACTTTCTCCCAGCTTGTCATTCCCATGGAGCCATCCCACTCTCTAGGGCATTTCTCAAATGAAACATCCCATAAAAATTAACCATGTCCAGACCTGTGAATTACCCCCTCATAAACAAACCAGCACCAGACCTCCAGCAGCTTATCTGGCATACTTCTCATGGCCTCTCTGTCTCCACTATCCCACCTGCTGTCTAGGGGGTGCTCACTGCCTGTGTCTTTGTGTCTCCTAGAGCCCCTTCCATCCCAGAATCCACCTCCAGCTCCGGATGGACAACAGTGCCCACTGTATGCCAGTGGTAAGGACATAGGCAGGACCTGCTCTGTTCATGAAGGCAGAAAAGGGTCTCTAAGGGGAGTAGAAAAAAGGAAGCCCTCCTGGGCCTCCAGAAACAGAGTCACCTAGGGAAGGGGAATGACAGCTCCTGGAGGAGCGGGATGAGTGAGAGCGGTGGGGCTGGTGGTGGGAGGGGAAGGGAGGAGGAGACACGGGACTCCAGGAGGGAGGGCAGGAGGGTTTAGACCCAGGGTTGGCCAATCACAGCCCATGGGCCAAACCTGGCCCACTGCCTACTTTGTAAAGAAGGTTTTACTGGAACACAGCCACACTCATTTGTTTATATTCTGTGTGGCTACTTTCATACTACAGTTGAGGAGTGGTGACAGAGCCCACAAAGCCTAAAATATTTACTGTTTTATTTACATAAAAGATTTGCCAACCTCTGATTTAAATAGTGTCAGGGCTGGAGAAGCTATTATAATCTGCTGAAGGGCCAGGCACCTCCTGCCGAGATAGCCCCACATTAGTAATCGACTCCCACTGCCAGTTGCCCCCACAACAGAGTCCCTTGAGGTGGGAAAGTCAGATGATCCCCCTGAAGCTTCATTCCTTCTTCCAGTGCATCAACAGGAAGAGAGAGATGATGATGTTACCTACTCTGTGGTGCATGTGGTCTCAAAACGGAGTGGAGGTGAGTGTCCTCGGCTCATACTTGTCCTTTCTGATAAGGGGAGTTCCAGACCTAAAATGAGAGCCCTATCACCATCACTGCTTCCACTATCACCAACACCTCCATATCCTCCTCACAGTTATCAGTACCCTAGCCTCAGTCACTATCCTCATCATTACCACCATCACCGACATCTTCATCACCGTCACCAACTACCGCCAGGACTATCACCACCACCATTATCGCCATTGTCATCGTGACCACCACCTCCGCTCTCACTACTACAATCACCACTACCACCGTCATCCTTGTCACCATCATCACTATCCCCTGACATCACCACTGCCTTCACCAGTATTGTCAACACTACCTTGAGGACTTCCACCACCTTCTCCTTCACTACAACCATCACCACCACCTTTGTTTGTCCTTTTCTTTTCTTTTCTTTTCTTTTTTTTTTTTTTTTTGAGAGGTTTTGCTATAGGGCACATGCGCTCGCTAGAAAGACAGAGAGACAGAAAGCAAGAAATCCCCCCCCAGAGGGGATGGCCACACCATAATCCCTTCTCCTCCATTCTCCGCTTGGGATCTTGGGCATGCACACACATGTACCCGGCGTGAATTTTATGCCACCAGATCTGGGACTCGAACTGTGGTTGACTACATGGGAGTCCAGCAACATAGCCATTACGCCAACTGCTGGTCCTTCCTTCACCACAGCCATTACCACCACCTTCACCACCATCATCAACACAGTAATGGCCACTACCACTATCATCACTACCATTACCACCATCACCAGCCTCTTCATCACCATTGTTACAACCACCATGACCATCACTACCACTTGTCCTTCACTACCCCCATCACTACCACCTTTACCGTCATGACTACCACACCATCACCATCGTCTTCGTTTTCACCACCAGCACCACTACTATCATTACCATAACCACCACCATCACATCTGCCTTCACTATCAGCAATACCACGAACATAACTGTGGCCACTATAACCACCATTCTCAATGTCATCTCCACCACCACTGTTACCATGATAGCTAGAGCAAGATTGCTTGCCCTTTCTGAGCACTGTGGAGGAACAAAGGAAAGGCAAACAGGATGACGCGGTTGGCCTGGCTCCAGAGTCCAGTTCTGTCTGTTATAAGGTGGAGTCAGGAAGACTGAGCTCCAGCCACAGCCATCAGTCAGGATGGCAGAGAAGGGGAAACACTAGTGTGCTCTCAAATAGAGAAAAAGGCAGCGTGGCCTCAGGGGGAAAGCCTGGGTTCCTGAGCCAGAGCTGAGTTTAAAGCCTGACACCGGGCACTCACTCACCGTGATCAGGCGAGTCATGTAACCTCTCTGAACCTAATGCATCAGAGGAGATAATGCTTACTTCGCAAGACCACTCTAAGTTGTTAGGAATAGAACCTGGATTCCAGAAACAGACCTTAAAGATTGTCTAACACATAACATGAAGGTATTCCCAAAAGCTCATGGACGGACCAGATGATGGTGCAGTGGTAAAAAGACGATGCTCTGTGAGGCTGTTGTGAAGATTCCAGGTTCAAGTCTGGAGGCCTTCCCAAGTATCAGGCATGCACTTGCCCGTGGCATAGGGCTGGAAGAAGACCTAGGATGGATCACAATGTTGGTGCCTGTTGGGGATTCTTGCTCTCTCTCTCTCTCTCTCTCTCTCTCTCTCTCTCTCAAGAAATAAATGAACAAACTTTTTTTTTAAGTTCATGGAAAGTGGAATTAAAGTACAAGTTTACTTTAGTGGGGAATAAAAAGAAATTTAAACATGACACATAAAATATGGGGCAGAGGGACCAGCAGTTAGCAGTTAGGACCCAGTGACTTAAACTCACTCCGGGCGCATGTGCGTGCGTGCCCAAGATCCCAAGAGGAGAATGGAGGAGAAGGGATTGCGGCGTGACCATCTGCCCTGGGAGGTAGATTTCTTGCTTTCTGTCTCTCTGTCTCTCTCTGTCTCTCTGGTGAGCGCACACGCCCTATAGCAAAAACCTCTCAAAAAAAGGGGGAGGGCCAGAAATATACCCTTCGAAAGATCATTACAGGGCCAGCCAGTGCCATGGTGGTTAAAGTGGCTAGATCCCATATAGCAACTGATCAGTTTGAGTCCTGGATCCTGTGGTTTGAGAAACATGCTGGGCAAGTGCTCATGTATGCCCAAGATTTTAGGAATGGAGGAGAGGGGATTATGGCATCCCCATTCCCTGGAAGGTGATTTCTTACTTTCCCTCTCCCTGTTGCTCTGCTTCTCTCTGGCAAGTACATGAGCCCTATAGCAAATTTTTAGAAAGATCATTATAGTGAAACAAATTAATACACCAAAATGAAATTAAAAAAAAAAAAAAGAAAAGAAATCAGAGTCGGTCAGTGTCATGGCTGGAGCCCATGTAGCCAACTGCAGAGTTTAAGTCCCAGACCTGAAGGCTTATAAAACACGCTGGGCGCGTGTATCTGTGCCCAAACTGTCTTCTCAGGCAAGTACATGTGCTTGCTGATAAATTAAAAGGGAAAAAAAAGGAAATTTATGCATAGTTTTTTTCATGCATGTGTCCTATAATTTTTTTGAAGATCCCTGTTAAATGCTCAAAAACAGGAAGGGCTTTGTCTGTTTGTTATTGTTTTAATGTCTCATCTGCTCTGAGGTTTCAATTCCTGGCCTATAGAGTTTGTCCCTTCCTTCTAAGGGACAGCAGGGGACTGAACAGCACAGGAGTCTTTTGACTCAGGGTAGTCCCTCCAGGACAGACTATGACAATGGCCTAGGCACTGCCAGGCACATGGGACAGCACATGGGACACTATTTAGCTTAGTTCCACCTCAAGATGCTTCGCAATGAGGACCTAAATGTAAGAAAGAAGAAAGAAAACCACCTACGGAATGCGTGGTTTTCACTCACAAAATAAGGAAGATGTGATCGTTTAAATCCTTCTCTTTTTTTTTGAAAGAATTACTTAACTTTATTTATTTTATTTATTCATTCATTTATTTTAATTTGATCAGAGAGAGAGAGAGGGAAAGTGAGAAAGCAAGCTACCAGGTCCAGGACTTGAACCATGGTCAGCCATGTGGGAGTGTCCAGCACCTTAACCACCATGCCATCTGTTGGTCCCCAAACAGGGCAACAAAAGTGAAGACCTGATGGAGGGGTGCGGTGATTGGCGCCAACTCGTGCTGCTCTAAGCTCTTTCCTGCTGTGTGGTTGAGGGGATTTGAAATCCAAACTAAGCAGAGGCCATTATGTTCCCAGATGCAAAAACAAGAGGATTGGGATCTTTCATCACTGCGAGAACGCATCACAGTTTGCAAAGGTTCAATATTCACCTCTAGTTCACTTCCTTTGGAGGTGACAGTAGAGCGTTAGGAATCGCTCTGAGCCTCAGTGTTCTCACCCTAGTATGAGAAGGAATCACCAATCCCTACACCGCAGGGTCAACGTGAGAGTGAATAAATGAGACCCTCGCATCCGTAGTAGGAGTCTAACGTAGCAGATGTTTTTAAGGCATCTTTTACATGTCCATCTCCTTTGATTCTCATTCTAATCCTTGTTACTACAGTCTACCTCTCTCTCTCTCTCTCTCTCTCTCTCTCTCTCTCTCTCTCTCTTATTTTTGGCCAAGGAAGCTGAGATTCAGAGACCAAGAGGCCTAAGGTCATGCAGTGTGTGAATGTCAAACTGGGACTAGAACACAAGTCTCTCGATTCCCAATTCTGTTTCCGGATTGAGGAGAGTAAGGGGGATCTCCCTGGGCAGGGTCCAGGCTATCTCGGAGGAGGTGAGAGGTGTGCTGGTGAGCACAGATGCCCTGACCTGACTCTCTCTCCCTCACAGCCTCCTACGAAAAGGAGAACTGAACCCCCTCCTGTGTTCTCACCCTCTGGTTACGTCTGCATCCTCCTCCTGACCCGCCTTTCCCACAGAAGGTCTCTGCTCTCTACACTGAGGTGAGACGCCCTCGGCTCAGTGAGAGTCCAGCCAAGGAGCTGAATCCAAGGAGCAGGACCCTCCAAGACCCCCTTGCTGACTACAAGGAGGTTCTCCACCAGTGATGGCATCCCCATGACACGCTCCGACCTGCGGTGCTCCCCAGCCCTCTCTGTGGGCCTTCCGGTTCCTGAGCCCAGCAGTGCAGGAGCCCCTGGGCCACTGTCCAGAAAACCCCATGCACGCACACACGCTGGGTCAAGCAGTGACACAGCGCAGCAGGCGCAGGTGCTTCCTTCCCACACAAGAGGCAGACTCAATTTTCTCTTTTCCTCTAGTTCATTAAAATGCATATTCTGGAAAAAAAAAAACTATGCATGGATTTCAATTTTTTTCACTAACTAAACTCGACTTTAATTCCATTTTCCTATGAACTTTTTGAAGTCCCCTCCTGTGTACTACCCTTACGGCCCTCAGTGCTTTTGTTCACCCTGGGCCCGACCTGAAAGGTAAGAGCATTGCTCTGCATCCAGAGGGCGGACTCTGAGTGACTCTAAGCATACCACCGACTTGGGAGCTGCTGCAGAGCCCATGAGTGACTGTGGGGCTGAGGGGATGCCCAGAGGCTCAGCAAGGTCAAGGGCCTGACCCAGATAATAGTTTAAAATCTTTGATGCTGGAGCCAGAGTTCCCCAACCACCGAAAGTTCTGCCTCTACCTCCAACCCCCCTGGGGGTCAGACCCTGCCCAGGTATGCAAAGACAGAAGCGAGGCTTACCCAAAGCTACTACTTGTAGAGCACTTCCAAAAACGCAGTTAGACCTTACTTGTTTAAAAAGGTGCATGATTAGGGGCCAGATGGTGGCAGAGGTAAACGCAACCCTCGAGGGGCTGACCCACATCAGAAGGTTCTGGGTTTGTACCCACAGACCTCTCTGAATACACCAGGCATGTACGTCTATGATCTGGGACTGGTTAAGCTGAGGCATTAGGACCCTATTGGGGTGCTGCCCCTTTGTCTCTCTGTCTCCCTCTTTCTCTCTGTCATCGATGGAAGAAATAATAAACTACCTTTTAAGAAAGAAACATGGTTGTAGAATCTATTTTCTTTTTTCTTTATTTTTAAAATCAATTTTTTTTTTGCTATAGGGTGTGCATGCTTGCTAGAGAAAGAGAGAGAGAGGGAAGCGAGAAATCATCCCCAGGGGGCTTGTACACACCCTAATCCCTTCTCCTCCATTCTCCTCTCAGGATTTTGGGTATCCATGCACACACATGATTGTCAAGCTGCCAAGTCCAGGACTCGAACCATGGGCAATAATGTAGCAGTCCAGCACCTTAACCACAATGCCACCTGCTGGCCTCATGAATCTATTTTGTTAGTAGGAGAGTGTCAGTTTATCTCATATAGCTCATTGACATTAATCATTTGCATTGCCTGGTAGCTTGGTCTGGTTTGATAAGAAGCCCGTACTCCTTGCTACCCGAGAACTGTCCATCAAAGATGAGTTACACTTGCCCCTCGGAGGCCCTGGCCCAGGTTCACACTCACCTGCTTGGAATCACAGAATGCAGTCTGACGTACAGACAGTAGACTGCACCAGACCCTGCTCACCTCGCCTATCCTGGTGATGTTAGGGGTTATCAAAGCTCCTGGTGCCACAGAGCTGCAAACAGCTCCCCTGGACCAGCAATGGTGACGTCACTGGGGAGCTTATTAGGAATACCCATGTTCAGACCCAGTCCCAGACCTGCTGAATCATAATCTGCACTTCAGTCAGATGTCCCGGTGGTTGATCGGTGCACACATCACAGTTTCAACACACTGCCTGGGCAGCCCCGCTGACTAGTGGCTAAGGAACCGGATTCCACATGGCCCACTTCATGGTTCAGGTCTCAAACCCAGCAGCTCGAAACACACACATATATACGCGCCCCACATCCTGCCAGGACTGGGAAATGAAGGAGAAGTGACGACAGCTTGACCATGACCCACTGAGGGGTGCTTTCTCCCTCTGCCTGTCTCTGTAACTCTCTGGCAAATTAAAAAAAAAAAAAAAATCACTGCTCTATCTTCAAAATACATGCTTCATCAAAGTCCATCTGCCCACTCATCTCTGGGAGCTCAGTGGCCTGTGGTTCTGTTCTGGATGAAGACAGAGCGGCACAAGAGAAGGCCTGATTAGTAAGGCAGCCCACTCTGGCATGTGCTCTCCCTTCTCTTCCATTGCTTTTCCCTCTTTACCT